TCCAAAAAAGGGTAGGGGGTGACAAAATACACAATCATTTTATGTTGATTACCCCAATACTTAATCTTGGGAAAAAGCTAGCTCTAAAATGATTGTCTTTTATGTGTATTTTCCACTAGAGGAACTACTGTATCGTTACTTTTCTGCTGTTGGCTCCCCCGACCCCCAGTTAGTTGCCTTGTCTGGCAGGTCTTTCTTTGGGGTTCATGAAATTGTAGTCCTTATCTCTTTCTAGAATGTCTTTCAGAACATTTGGGAGCGCTGGTTTGGTAAGTGTGAATTTCCTCAGGTGTGCTTTGTTGTGAAATTCTTATTTTCCAAAAATTTTGAAAGACAGTTTTGCAGGGTACAGAAACCTGGGTTGGAAGTTGTTTCCCTTTAGGGCTTGAAATACTCCACTCCAAGCTGTCCTTGACTTGAAGGTTTGTGTCTAGGAGCTGTGATTCCGACAAGCTTTCCTTTGTTAGTGATTATTCTTTTCTGTAATAGCTTTTAATAGTCTACTGTGTTGAACTTCTGGAATCTCGACTAGTGTATGCCTTGTGATTTTAAAATCATGAGCAAGTGGAGTTTAGACCTCACTTACCCATATGTACAATTATTTCTCCCTGCCAGGGACGTTTTCTGCTATGACATCTGTGAAAACATCTTTTAAAATATCATCTATGCTATCTCCTGTTTTTTTATCTACTGCAATCAGTTCTGTTATTCTGTGCATCACCCAGCAGCTACTTGATGGATTTCTCGTGGCACCTTGCTAGTTTTAAAAAATCCTTTTCGTGGTTGCTAGCCAGAAGCCTGTCTTCTGAGATTCTGTGCTTTCAATGGAATTTTTCGCCTCCTGGGTGTCTGCTTGAATGCTGTACAGACTCCACTTCATTCTTATGTTGGGCATTTATGGTTTCCATCACTTTCCTAAGCCCTCTCTCTACACACAGATTTAATCTGTATTTAGAGTCACTAAGCAAGTTTTTCATTATGGTCATTTCTTGTCTGAGAAATCATTTCTGATTTGATTTTTTTGTAGAGCCTCATTCATTTGCAGAGATCAGGCAGGAGGCTTTAAGATTTCCCAGCCTCATCACCCCTGGGTTTGCCTTTGGTGAACTGGGGTTGCATCTTGCTTAAATATCTTCACATTTTCTCTCTGTGTGCATGTGCATATGTGAATTTTGGGTTGAAGTTTATAAATTACCTATGTTGAGTTATTTTATTGCCTGTATTTAGAACCATTAGGAAATGATTATTTTTCAAAAGTATGTTCCAGGTATAGCTGGCTTTTTGGTTTTTAGTCTGTTGCAAGATCCTACCTTTTCAATTTATTGGGGATGAGAAGTCTCTGTCTATGTAGCCAAGCCCCTGGTTCTTTGGCAGTGAGCCCACAGTGTTTTCTGATGCCCTTAGGTTATCTTAGTCTCTGTATATGACACTTATATGTCACTTTGGTTATGTCACTTTGGCTGAAATAGTACAATCAGTAATAAAACATCAAACAGCCCAGAGATGATAAACTGAGGTAACTATTAATTTGCCACCTTTGACCACATGAATGAGCTTTTTGGTTATACAACAAAATTTAAAACCAGAAAACTGTATACAGTAAATAAGCCCTCAATATGCCAATTTTACCCTCAGGAGGGAAAATTTTAAATGAGTTATGGGTTATAGAGATTAGAAGAGATTAGAAGCAAGGCCGGAGGACAAAGGAGGACCATGGAAACTTGGGAAAACTGGTGAGGGAAAGAGAAGAAAGAAATAAAAGGAAGAACAGAACCACACACACAAAAACCACATTCACACGCACATAAAAAGATCAAATAAAAATATTAAAAATTTAAAAGGGAAAGAAAAAAAAAAAAAAGCCTGCTCTCGCTTATAGACAACATGGAGACAGAGTCCAGTTCTGTTGATTTACCTATCCCAGCAAGCCAGCAGTAGCGATATGGCAGGGTACTGGGTAATCTCAGAGCCTGTACCTTTATTTCCCCTGCAGTTCAGGCTGCTTTCTGGCCATGAGACAGGGAGCAGACCTGTTCAGCTTGCAGCAGTCTGCATCTCTGCGGGCTTGATCTCAGCTGGGAGCCGCTAGATGGAGCCAGCAGTCTTTCTGAGTCCTGAGCTCAGCTGGCCCCTCTCCAAGATGGCTCCCGGGCAGTCACCCTCTCCAGCAGGATGCCACATGTGCTTCACCCGCCAGTCAAGGCTGTCAATTGTGTCCACTCATCTGCCATGCTGCTTCCTCTCTCAGTGGAGGCCTCTGGGGTTGCAGCACTCCCATGTCTGCCTGCAGGCTTGACCCTCTCCTCCCAGGCAGTGAGCTGGAGCTACTATACTGTTAAAGTCAACGTAGAAGGTGTGTGGATACAGAGTACTGTAAATGTTGGGAGACAACAACAGCTGCCTTCTGTCAACACCGGTCATTCCAGCTCCCACAAAACAGCAATGTACAGTTCCTATTTTACCTGAAATCTGACAGCTTGAAAAATGTCTGAACCCTGCTTAAACTGTACCTTTAAAAAGTTCTAATTGTCATTTATATCTCAGTAAATGACAATTAGGTGTCATTAGACAATTAGATGCATTAGCTGTCTACCACGCCACTGTGACCAGCCACCAAGACTAGCACTAACGGGGGCAGCTCTTCTGAGAGCAAGTGCTATACAGATTTCCCCTTTTTAACAACCGAGGTAAGATTTATCTTCAGCTGTCAGTACTGAGGATCAAGGGCGGAAGTCCTGGTCATTCTCTACTTAATGTAATTCCCATCTCCTTACAGACTGGATTCTCCATCATCTTGTAGAGTACACAGCTGGCACTGGGGTGGGACAGCACAGCTGCAGGTCCCAAGGCTGATGCTATGAGTTTGTGGGAGGCAACCTCTGCTAGTCCAGCTGAGGAACCTAAAAGCATGTATAGAATCTCAGTAGTTAGGGAGCCCTTTCCAGGACTCCTCAGGTTCTATAATATTCCTGGGGTAGGAGGTTGTAATTGGAGCACATCAAATTGGAAATACTTGATAAAGAGTCCCCAGTACATTCTCTATTCTGTCTTTAATGTTCAGAATCATTACCAGGCAGCAAACAACAGTAGAAAGCACCTGAGCTTTGGATTACGTGGTCTGAAACCCTACTTGGCCATCCTTGAGGCATGTGACCTTTATATACCTATAAAATTGAACACGAATGCCTAACTCACACAGCCAATGTAAAACCAGAAATGCCTCAATTCTAGAACCGGACCTCAAGGAGGTGCTCACAACAGCAAACTAGTATCATTTACACTTGTACTTCTTATATAAAGCATCGAAGTCTCTTACTATGGTCCTTTAGGTGTCTCTGCACATGGTTTAGCACTCCGGAGACGTGACATTCACATGAGAAGGTTTCCGGAATCGCACTCACACCCTCCAGACTGGCCTAACCTAGAGAGCCCAGACCCAGGTCCAGACAGGAAGCACATCTGGCTAACAACAGCAAGTGGAGCAGGGAAGCAGAGATGGAAAGCAACAGAGGAGCATTGTTAGGTCCCATAACTCAGCAAGGGTGACCAAATTTCACCCGAGTAGCAAGTCATCATCCAGATTCTGCCCAAGCCATTCCACTGTCAGCACTCCATGAACAAGTACTGAGAGGCAAGCTGGAGCTTGATTAGTTCTTTCTTAACCTTTAAATACCTTTGGCTGGGTGATCAAAACCTTCTCAGAACCATTCTCACAGTGTTTGTAAAAACATAAAATATATAGCACTTCAGAGGAAACCAATTGTACAGTAATATAAGTCTACCTTCAGATCCTTTAGGAATGTATGAATTCTACGTCAAAGACTGTTCCCCAAAGGCTGAGGGTCCTGATGGAAGAGGGAAGTGGTTCTGGAGGACAGGGGTCTCCAGGATATTCCAGGCCTAAATGTTTACTTAAAAGATAGCAAAGTGAAGCTTACTAACTACACTCTCTCAAAAGCATTTTTTCCCCTTTCTTCCTTTCAACTTCTCTTTCTTCTCTCTTTCCTCCTTTATCTGTACTGGGGATTGAACATACAGCTTTCAGTACTGGGGGCTCAAACTAGAGCTTTCACACTGACTACACCCCCAATCCTTATTTATATTTTTTTATTTTTGAGAGATCTCAGTAAAGATACTATGCTGAGCTTGAACTTGTGATTCTCCTTCCTCTGCCTCCTGAGTTGTGGGGACCACAGGTATGCATCATCATAGCAGCCTCAAAGGACCTCATTTCTCTCCCTTGATTCTAAAAATTACCTGGAAGGAGGAGGAAAAAGTCCTGATAAAAAATATAATAGGAATACTTTAAAGTCACCTAAGCCTAGTTGTTTTAACTGGGGGGCAAGCCTGTGACACTGTCAAAGATACTGTTGGTTTATGGTGATGGCAATGTGTATTACTGTTATCTAGTGGGCGGAGTCTAGGAAACTTATCAAACATGCTACATAATACAAAGTAACCCAAAATGTCAATAGTGTAATTGAGAAATCCTACTTAGCCTGATGGGAACACAAAACGGGGAGAAAGCAAGTCTCAATGAGATGAACTAACCTCATCCAAGGGCAGAGTAAAATAGGTAACCCATAGCCCAAAGCTTCATTCTTTTCTCTTGATATCTGTCGTTATGTTTTTTGAGACTTTAAAGCTAACAGAGTAAAGACAGAGTGGGCTCTATGAGCACAGTATACAGAAAAGGGCACGGGGCACAGAAGAAACAAGACCCAGCTGACCCAAGAACAGACACTGCTCAGCTGGCACCATGTAAAGCTTGGCTTATCCCCAGCTTCTTGGATATTTATAGTTATCTAGCTCCTAGGATTTCCATCCTCATCCCAGGTACTAACACACATGACAGACAAGGAAGGACACCCAAAGAGTCTCAGCGGCCTCTACACACAACTACCTATGAACTGGCACAACATGAGGAAAAAATGCTTTTTAAACTTGGCAATTGCAAGGGCCAGCCAAATAGCTCAAAGGGCCAGCCAAATAGCTCAGAGGATTAAAGCGCCTGCAAGCAGGCACAGGGGCTAGGGATTTGATCCCTGGGCCTGCTGTGCTGGCTCCGCCCCTGGGGCACGCTGAGACAGCAACTGAGACTGGGTGTGGTAGTGTGTGCCTGTAACAGCTCTTGGGAGGCTGTAAACAAGAGAATCACTATGAGTCCAATATACTAGTGAGACCCTGTATACCCTTCCCTAAAGATACAAACAAACAAAAACCCAAAAACCTTGCAGTTGCCTTAAATTTCAAAGAAAGGTTGGCTTTATTTTTTTTTTTTACCAAACCGGGGATTGAACTCAGGCCACTCAGGCCCTTGCACTTGCCAGGCAAGCACTTATTCTACTGAGCTATCTCCCCGGCCCCTGGCTTTATTTTTTTAAAACAGCATCTTGAGTTATGCCTGAGAAATCAGATGTCTGCACATGCCTGTGCACACACATGTGGATGTATAAAGTTTTTTTAAAGCTTTAATCATACAACATAAAAACATCAACTCCTGTCTCAGTTTTTAAAAACGTTAATGTGATGTTACTTTAATTAAAGAAAATAGTCCTCCAGAAGTTTCCTGTTGATGTTTACAGCATTGAACAAAGCTACCTAAGAAGCCAAAAAACTAAAGACTGTAGCTCATACCAATTTGCTCTGAAGTGCAGTCCAAATTTTTGGAAGAGTAAAAATCTTTTCCAAAACTTGACACTTTTCTCCAAATTCAGCCCTCATCACCCACAGGCGTTTCTCCTCTCCTGATACATTCCATTTCTTCTCCCATGAATTCTTTGTCTTTGCCTTCAATTTGGAAGGCCTGCCTCCTTCTCAAAGTGAACAAAATTCAACCTTGCTCAGATGAGAGACTGCAGTTGACAATAATCTGCAGTCATATAAATCTTGCTACTACATCTTTAAGTATCTGTAAAAATTCATGCTACTTTCATATATTTAGTTCTATTTCTAGTCATGGTATAGATTTATGGCATAGATTCACTGTAATTCAAAGCAAAACAGTTATAACATGTTAAATGCCATGTATGTTGCCACACTCACCCATGTCAAAAAATAATCACGAAGTGCTTTCCACCTTTCACAGATGGGCATCTAATTATAGCAAATCCACTATGGGTATTAATTTAAAAGATTTCCACAAAGCACAATATACTGTCTTTTCCCCCCTATTATTTGTGAAAATTTTCACATACAAGTTAAAAGTAGATTAGATTCTACAGTTAGCATCTTATTATAATAAGAAAATTCTTCTAGAATTATAATTTTGAGATTTATACTCTGGGGATCAAAAGTAGCATTTCCTGTTTTCATATAGAAATCAAGGTCTGGTGCTGTATTTAAAAATGGAAGAAATTTTTAAATTTACCGAAGGATTCACCACAAAATTCTTTTTTTTTTTTTTTTTTAATTTTTTACGGAAGGGTCTACAGGATGTTCAGGGTCTCACTACTAGATTGACTCAGTGATCCACCCGTTTACAACCTCTCAAGAGCTGAGATCATAGGTATGCACCACCATACCCAGTTTCAATTGCTGTCTCAGCGCACCCCTGGCTCCTGTGCCTGCTTACAAGTGCTTTAATCGGCTGAACTATTTGGCTGGCCCTAACCACAAAATTCTTGTCAAAATAAGCTAGGCTTTTTCTAGACTCAGAAAAAAATCTCTTTCAAACAAAAAATGAAAGTTCTCTTACGGAGTGAAACAGAGGTCTGTTAAATACCATTAAAAAAAGAAACCATGTGAAATACCCTGGGCCCTGAGAAAGACATTCTAGTTAGGGAAGCAGTATTGGACAATACAGAGTGGTTTGCAACTATGAATGCCACAGAGTGCGCACTGCTCACCAGCACCCAGTACACCTCAGCATTTCAGAAATTCTAACCTGTTCCAGCTCTAACAAGCTGAGTCTGCAGCAGAAAATACATGGGTACTAAAACAACCTCTGTAGCGCTGAGGAGGTGCCCAACCCGATTAAAACTAGGAGTTTACAATTAAGTTTTTATTCTTTTTGTTTAAGGTGAAAAGAAACCGAATGAATGATTACATCTTACAAATCTGATGGCACTAACAGCCTGTTGTTTATAATGCTCTCTTCCAATAACGTGGAACAATTTAGAAACTTATTTTACCTGTCTTCATATTTCTCAGAAGCCATGAAACGGTACTGCCTCTTACTCAACAAGAACTGAGGCTCAAAGCAATTATGCAGCTTATCCACAGTCATAGTGTGACTTAAGATCCAATCTTATGATTAGTATAAAGACAGTGATCATGCTCTCAAACAGCACTAAATACAAAAGAAATGATTCCTTAACAATTATGAGGGGCTTGCAGGTTAGCTCAGTTGTTTAAAGCGCCTGCTTGGGCACACTCATTCAGGCCCAGGGGATCAAGGTTACATCCCCAGCTCCACATGCCTCACCAGACCTGCCCTTAAGGCTGCCTGAGCTAGCCAAAGGGGCGGGGGGGGATCCTTCTCCTTGGGCTTGCTGGCTAGCTCAGTTGTTTGAAGCACCATCTTGGGCAAACTCAGTCAGGTGCAGGGGACTGTGGTTTAATCCCCAGTTTCACATGCCTCACCAGACCCATCCATAAGGCAGCTTGAGCCAGCCAAAAAAAAAAAAAAAAAAGAATCCTTCTCAAGTTTGAAGGCCCACCAGATAGCTCAGCAGATTAAAGCGCCTGCTTAGGCAGACACAGGGTTCAAAGGTTTGATCCCCAGCCAGGCATGCCAGCCCCACCCGTGGGGTGCTCTGAGACTTGATTGAGACTGGGTGTGGTGGTGCAAGCCTGTAGTCCCAGTGCTTGGGAAGCTGAAAACAGGAGAATCACTACAAGTAAATTATGATATATTGGCTAACACTTAAAAGTTTTGTTAGTGACTAAGATGTACACCAAAGCAAGAAAAGAGCTGCCGGTGGTCTGCCTAGGTCCGATGCACACAGCAGCTGTAGGCACTGCTAACTGTCACACTTCCCAGTTCTCAACTGCCAGGCTTTCCAGGAGCCAGGATGGAAGGACAACAGGAACAAGAAAGAGCAGGCTTTGCGGGAGCCTTCCTACTGCACCAATCACTCTAGCAGGCTCAGTTTCCACGGGGTTCTTCTGTCCATCTTCGGTGGTACGAAGAGCTCAGCATCTTTAAAAAGGAAGGGAAATTATGATTAGACACATGCTGGTGAGAACTGGGGCAATAACTCTATGCCAAACAAAGTAGGTGACTATGTTTTGCAGCTACAAGGTGACCATCCAGTCAGTTACTGTGCCTACTATCCATGTAACTTCTAAGTTACAGCCTGGAGTCCGCACCCAGAAAGAAGAGACTGCACTGAACTCCAGCCACACTCACTAAGTGACTCAAAGTAGAGGAAAGGGGTGACAGTGGTTACATGCAGAATATACTTATTAAAATTCATCAAATTATATATCTAAGATCTTATATATCAAGGGTCTTTCAATTTTTTTTAAAAGGGTAATAAAATGTGTCATTTGCACTAAAAGGGAATGGACAGAAAATGCTCTAGGATATAATTCCACAACACCATGGATAATAAAGATACCTCTTAAAAAAAGAAGTGCTGAGGGACTACTGGAAAAAAACTGTGTCACTGTAATCTAAAACTTCTGGACAGTCTTTCAGTTACAGTTGTGGTCTCTAACTGTAAGTTATATAAAGGAAGCAGATATGAGAAAGTACATAAAGATGTTCTTTCTTGACATTTCTTATAATTAAACTTCCAGCACTACATTTGTACATATATGGTATATGGATATTAAAAGTGATTTTTAAAGAACATCTAGCAATATGAACAAAAATCCTCAAGAAAGTTTCATGATTTTCCTATTATACATAAATACATTGATATGTACACACATGACAGAAACTGTCAAATTTTAATTTTGTTTGACATAATTCATCACATTCTCTCATTGTTATCAGTTTTATAGTCATGCATAAAATAAAGTACTCTCTACCTCTATTAGCCTCTCCCCAAATATAGACAAAAACCCACCAGATATTTTGGTTGTGTGGGAACACTGACACTAAAAAGACTACATAAATTCAATGTCAACAAGGGACATAAAATTTCAGTTTTTAATCTTAAACAAGTCATGAGGATGCTCTCATATTTTAAAAATTAGTTTAAAAAATAAACATAAAATTAGACAACTATAATTATATTTGAGTCTATACTAAGAATAAATACCAATTACTGACTTTTTGGTGAGAAAGTAGTTATTCTGACAAACTGCATGACATTAGCATGTGACACTTCCCACATTTCCCTTGCTTAATACAAAAAGTCATTTTTAAAAAATACTTCGAGGGCTTTTCAACATTTCCAAGCAACTCTCAATCTTTTAAAGTCACCTCTAACTTTGTTACTACTGATTCCAGCAAATCCAACTCAGCTATGATCCAAGCATTTTTCTAATATCACTTTAATCCATTTTAGGAAAATCTACATTTTTGCAAGACTCAAAACCAAGCTGCGTGACCCGCACTGCACTGAGGCATGAGCAGTCGCAGCAAATGGCCCATCCTGCTGCAGATTCCTGAGGGATGGAGGTGTTTGCCCAACCACTGCTAGCTGGGGAAGGAAGGGCAGCTGAGGAGTAGTTCTGTGAGACTCATTTTTGAGTAGGATCAATTCCAGTGTAAGAACAGTGAGAACCTCCCTCTCCCTAGACAATCTGTAGCCAAGAGACACTGATCACAAACACTCAGGTGAGGGATCCTCATATATTACGGTCATTAAGGCCTAGATGGAAATGGAAATGTTTCTGATATGAAATGGAAATGTTTCTGATATGACCATCTAGCATGCACCATGGTCTTGAAGGCCACCATTGGGCTAGGACAAGGAGCACGAAAGGCAAACAAATCAACTACCAAATTGCTGCAGGAGCAAGATGAATTGTTAGCATCTCATAAATAGACATATGAACTAAAGTTGATACCAAAGAGCTACCCAAACTCTAGCAGAAAGGGACCTACAGCTACGGTAGTTACTGTGAGATGAATATAGTTGGGCGGAAGCAATTCAATCTGCTAAATGTAATTATAAATCCCAAATACCACCAAAATGCTACTACAGTGGAGAATTTAAATGAAAAAATTTCAGGATGGTGCCTATCACAAGCTAGAAAATGCAAATAACAGCCATAAACTTCTAGTTCTTTTGGAAGATGTCACTGACTGCAAGGCTGAGAGAGCTGGTATACCTGAGCGATCACCCCAAACAGCCAATACTGAGGTGCCACATTTATGTTTAAAGTGTTAACCAACTTTTAAAAGAAAGCCTTTAATAACTATGGCTGAAACTTGTAAGAACATGCAATCTAATTGTAAGCCATCAACAAATTTTAGTTAATAACTAAAAAAAAAAAAATGCAGCTGGCGTGGTGGTGCACACCTGTAATATCAGACTTGGGAGACTGAGTCAAGAGGGTCACTGTGAGTTCAAGGCCAGCCTGGGCTACAAAGTAAGTTCAAAACCAGGCTGAAGTACACAGTAAAGTTCTGCCTCAAAAAGACAAAAAAAAAAGAGAAAGAAAAGCTCAGATAAAATGCTAAGTCTTTGGATGTGCCTCCAAGTTAAATTCTTAATCATAAAGGTAATAAAAGTGTTCAGGTCACAAGCAACACTTGTGGAAATGTCCCCAAGATATAATGCATAACTGCCAAGAGCCCAAAATGATTCAGAAGTATTTTCCAAATGTATCTGTAAATGTAGACCTTTCATATGGACAAGTGCATGCCAGTTTTACCTAAAAAATTTAATTATGCATTTTACTGTCATTTTGGATTTCCCCATCAGACCCCCACTATTAGGATTAAACTTATCTACTAAAAATAGTCTCAGCATTGAGGAACAATCATAGTCAATACCCAAGCTCTGCTTCTACTGCTGACCTTGTTGAAGATACTCCTTCTGCTCAGTAGCATGGTCATTTATTCATAGGGAAAAGATACTAACCAAGAACAGGAACTGTAGTCCTCTGCTGTTGATAAGATGCCATGATACTATTTGCAGTAGAATTGGGACCTAGAATCTAAGCAGAAAAGTTTGGTGTTAGCAGTGATTACCTCATACTTCTGATAACTACACAAACCAAAAGCCAAACCTCCAGACAGAAGTAAATACCCCGCATGTTCATTTTATTCTGGTACTGGGGATCAAATCCAAGGTCATACTACCACTGAGCTATTACATCCTCCCACCTTGTCCTTTGAGACACTTGCTAATTGTCAAACTAGGGTGGAACTTACAAATCTCTTGACTTGGGCTCCCATGCTGCTGGGATGACAGGCACCTATCACTCTGCACCCGTGTTAAAGGAAAAGCACAGAAGTTTAGCGTTTCCTGTGCCTGCAGCAGGCCTCTAGGCTCATGCCAATCCTCTCATTTGCCCTCACACATCTTTGCAAGCAGTCCGAGGTGCAGCAGTCTTGACAGTAATGCCATACAGCAAAGCCATGGGGGTCTTGAACATACCCCACCACCATACTCTGCCAACCAAAGCAAACCACAAACTCCTTGGTCATTTTACCTAGAAGATTCATGAAGCTAAGCCTTAGATGGTCACATGATACAAAAAGAAGGAGAATTTCTAAACTGTTAGCTTCAAAACTACTGCAGTTTTGGACAGGATGATCATATTTCTCCTAAGAAATTCCTATTACAGTAAATTCAAACATCTATGGGGTCTTGATTCTTTGTTGCTTTTCTATGATTGGCAAGGTACTTGCACATCTACCCTCTTATCTAACCATCCAAGCATTCCGATGAGGCACCCAGGGAAGTCTCATTTCTGAGACTCAGCAAGCTGGTGCAAGCTACCCCAACCTTCTGTCTTTAAGTGCCAAACTCAAAACCCACTCTTCCATACACAACATGTGAAGCTGGTTCTGGGGCTGAAAGAACATTTCTACTTGTGAGCTGACTACTGTCCACCAATAAAGGACAGCAGAAGGATGGTGCAGGGCTGGAGGAAGGAGGGATTTGTGAGCCTGAGACCCAGCACCAGCTGTTCATTCCACTTTTATTTCTGCACACTTAGAACCAGCCTTGTCATGCACCCAGATTTTAGGACCGGCCGGCTGGCTGACACCTCAGCTGTGTTCCCTTAGCCAAGGGAAGAAGCTACTTCCTCTCTTACTCACTGTGACCCTCACTTATCTATGCCCCAGTTAGGCCTTTTCAGTACCCAGATTCTCACTCAATCTGTATTATTAAATTTGGTACACAAAATGAACAGCTGTGGCTCTTATTCCTTTGTGGAACCCAGCCTTTCTGAATCTAAATCACAACACTTCGCAGTGGACTTCAAGGGGTCAGAGAGGAAGCAGAGTATGTATAGGATACCAAGCTGTTACTGTCCCATCCATGCTTTCTGAGTTGAAAGTCACGGGTCGACTCTGATCCTAGCTTTCCCTTCCCTGTCCTCCACCCTCTTGGGAGACTTTCCCATTGTCCTGACACCAGTTCAGACACGGAAGGTTCACTTGAGATTCGAGCAGTCCGAAGAAGAGATGCAGAGCTGTGGATTAAATAAATGGGACATTTCTAGGCTCAGGTGCTGTTTAGCTGCATGCACTCATGTGGCACTCCTTAGGCCCCTAGCCCATGCAGCCGCTTAGCCATAGTCTGTCCAGCCACTCCTGTGGTCCCCACCCCGCTCCCCTCCAGCCTTACGGCAGTCCAGCTATATACAGGAGTCTGTATAATAGTGATCATGTGTACAACCTTGGTTGTATCAATTATTTACCCCAGGGCATCCGGATGTGCACCTGCACTGGAATTCCACTGACTCTGGATGTACTACCCACAGGAAGTCACACCCACAATGAACCACAGTGCAGCCAGCTTAGACCTCATTTTTCCCTATGCCCGTCTTTTCTAGATCAGTTACTTTATCTTGAAAGACAAAACAGTATCCTACTTAACCTATGTCCAACTATTATCTATTATACAGGCAAATATAAAATAATCTTACTAATGGCTTAAACACAAACCTAAGATGACTATGGCAAATGATGTTTTAAGAACAAGGTTTTTTGCTTTGGATCTGAGAAAAAGATGGAGAAAGGCATGCTGTCTTTGAGAAAACTTACAGGTATGGCTGGGTTCTGCTGGTAGGTGAGAGTCCAAATTTCTGGAAGTGACCTTTCCATCAGCTGCAAAGCACCCTCAAAGGCCTCCTGTAATTCCCTTCCTTGGTCATCAAACTCAAAGAGAAAGAGCACCTTCAAAATGCAGTGTACTTCATCTAGAGAGAAGACATTTGGGAGTGGTTAAGTCATGTCTCCAGACCCCTCGTAGAATCACGCCATAGTTTCTTTTTTGCAAAAACATTCTAATATCACATTACAGTAGCTTTATCATTTTCTTCCTTTCAAAGCTGGAGTAATTCAACATATCTACTGTAAGAGGAAGAGCAACACATTGGGAATAGCCAGAAAGCAGTACTGCCTAATCCTTTATCCTAATTGAAATGCTATTTTTTGCAGTTCAGTCAGGTGGAAGTCAAGTGCAGGAAGGACCAGCTGAGAAGGTCTGTTTCAACAGGAAGCAGTGAAATAACCCTTCTAGGTGAAAATTTTGTTCTTTCACCAAATTGGAAAAATGGTATCATTTAACTCCACCCATGTGTGAGGCCCATTTAGTATTGACCCACTTCTGAGGTCAATCATCTTTATTGAAAATGTACCTTTCAATTTTTCAGTGCTTTGTACCACTTCATTTAATGCCTCCAAAAGAGCCAGGTCCTCCAGTGGACTCCCTTCTTTGAGGCTGTGCTTCTTCCGCTCTGCTTTGCGGCGATTCTTAGAAGATCTCCTGTCAGAAATTACAGAAGTGTTTAAATGCCTTCCCTGTGCTGAGCAGACCGTATTTGTATGGGGTGCTGGGGGTAATAAGGTGTTAAAGCTGTACATAACATGGGGGAGGGGGAGAGAGGAAAGAAGGGAAGGGGAGGGGAGGGGAGGGAGGGAGGGAAGGAGGGGAGGGGAGGGGAGGGGAGGGGAGGGGAGGGGGAGAGGGAGAAACAGAGACAATCTGCATCTGTGCATGTAAGTCTTAACAAGTAGGAAATAATAAGGAAAACCTCAAATGTAATTTCCTTCCTTGATGTTTTAATTAAAATAGAGAATCAAATGAGGTTATATCTAATAATATCCTGGTCTAATACAAATTTTATAACAAGCCAAGTACAATTCAAGGTAACACAAAATTTAAATAAGCAAATAAAAACATACCAGATTAAAAATGAATAAAATGTACATGATCCTATCCTTTGCTCCCTCTGAGGTCTTTTAACCTTGCAATTTATTTACTGGGACCTGCTCAGCCCATAACAGTGGTCTTAAAAGTCTAAGCCTCGCTGCCTTTATTAGTTTCTGATCATCTTACAAAAACTTCAAAGACCTCCATCATAAATTCTTACAACACAGTTCAGTTTAAATAAATGATCTTGGATTGTTTTACATCTCCAGAGCTCTTATAACTCCAAATCTCTGAATAAATTTTGGTAACATTTATCGCACTTGCATTCACAACATATGGGTATTTAATAAATACTTGTGATCAATTGCTACACTAGGTAAAATGTGATCATTTGTATTTATAATCTCTATGATCATATCTTGATTACACCGGGTTTGAAGCCTGAACTTTTTCTTTCAAACTCTTCATTCCTTCAGTGCCTATACATTACAGCCAGCATTTGTGCAATCACTAAAACAGATGCCATAGGAACTGAGTACTCAAGAGCACAGCCTCACAGCAACATCATCAAACTGCACAGCTATGCTGGGAAAATCCTTGCACAACTTCCACGTGGTTGAGGAATGCCCAGCCCATCCCCACTGGGTTGTCCTAGTAGAAACCAGCCTCTCTATGCTTCCACTTTCTCCATCTACATGGCAGATGACCGAGTGTTGCACAGACATGGCACGTACGCTGATATCCTGGAGTTACTGTGGGAGTATTTGCCACTCATCTCACTGCCACTCACAACACTGCTGGTTTCTGAGAAGAGGTCGGACTCTTGAGCACGGGACACATCATCATCTAGAAAAGAAGAGGCACATGAAACAATTTCCTGCTTCAGTGAGGCAAGTGGAATACAGCCAACCAGGACATAAGATCATGAAAATTATGACAAAGTTAATCTCAAGACAAATGAGACGATATTAAATGCAATTACTACTTCAAATCAAGCTTACCAAACCTCTCCCCCAATTTCCCTCCCCCTCTCTCAGAAGTGAGGAAACTCATTTTGTGAAACACAGAAGTAGTCACCACTTTGGCTGCATAGCAGGAGATGGGACTGTATGGCAAAGCTCTTCTAATTCACGCTTGATCCTGACCCTGTGCCCTTCTCTAACACACAGATAGTCCTGGGGCGCTCAGAGTTCATCATGGCACAGTAATTAAACTACAGGAGGAACAATGCTGTCATCTGAATATAGTCTGTCCCCACCTAACACCTCAGGATGAGTCATGAATCCTCAGTGAGACAGTGCTGAGAGTATGGGGACCTTTAAGTGTTGATGAGGCCACAAGGGATTCATGTCCTGCATAGGGAATACATTCTTAACAGAGCCAGATTGGCTGTTGAGAGACTGGGCTGTTCCAGGTGAGCTGCCTCCTCCCCCAGTCTCTGTCCTGCTCCCACCTGCCTCTGCCATGAGAACTGTACAAAAAGCTAGCTGATCAAATGGGCACTAAGCCTCCAGAACTTTGAGTAAAATAAGCCTCTCTTCTCCCCAAGGGGCCTAGTTTCAGGTACTGTGTTACAGCAACAGAAACAGCACACAGCTAAGACCACATGTGGGGGTGCCAAGTTTCCACACAAGTCTCAATGGCCTCACACAAGCACTCACCAGGATTCACCTGCTGTGCCTGTTCCTTGAGCTCTCGAACCACCAGCAAGCGTTTTTTATGGCGACTGAATGTGGTAGTTTGAGAATCCAAAAATGCTATGTAATTTTTCTGGGCTAGAATGCAAAATGGAAGCTAAAATTAGTGTGATGCTTAAGCAAAGAGAAAAAAACAAGGGGAGGAGGCAGCAAGGACAGATTAAAATTCAACAAAGGGGAAGATCTGTTCTTTATTAACTGAAGGATGAAATTCTTGATCTCAGAGGTCATCAACATTATCCCAGAATGCGCGCTACTATGGAAGCATAGTGGCACACATGGTAATCCCAGCATTTAGGAAGCTGAGGCAGGAGGATCAAGAGTTTAGGACCAGCCTGGACTATACAGTAAGACCCTAATTCAAAACAAAAACAAAACATGACTATAGCTTACTGTACTACTACACTTATATCATCATCTGAATAAAGTCTTGACATCAAACCACAGAGAAAACTGGCACATAAAGGGGCACACAGGCAGCTGTCAATGAAAACAAAGAATTACTTAAGTGTTTCTTTTTAAACATCCATCAAAATGCCGATAGGTACAGAATGATTCCTGAAAATTATTGTTCAACGGGAAAAAAATGACACTGAATACATGGAAAAAAACCAAAATGGCACTAAGAATATGTTTTACCAATGGGTACTAGAATTACCAGGATTTTTCTAGGTTCTCATTAGTTGTGAAATATAAGGGCTGACTGGGTGAATTATATAGGTTCAAGAAAAATGCTTCAGTTAGGAATAACTACAGTGAGTAATAAAAGAAGTATTTGTCCAACAGCTTTAATTAGAATGGGGGAAGAAACAAGAATGTGAATAAATGTGCAAATCAAGAAGGTCAGATATTACTTAAAAAGGCAGAGCACAAAATCAACCCTTACTTTCTCAGAATTCTGTAGGTCAAATGGATATTCTTTTCTTTTGCTTTTAAGGGGTCCCAATGACCACCAGGCTATTCTGGAACTGGTAATAGTTGTTGGTTCTCTAGGAACTATCAGCCTCATTTGCAAGGGTTCTTTTTAACTTTAATTTTGAAAACATTCAAGCCTACAATGCACACATACATACTCAATGTTCTTCTGTGGAACCATTTTAACTTAACCTGTAGAGATGATCCTCCTTCATTCCCAAATGCTTCAGCACTTTTCTTCTCCTTTTTTTTTAACCACTGTGGAATGAACCTAAGGCCTTGCATATATTAAGCAGGTACTCTACAAAGAACCACTACTCGTCCGCCTGTCAGCCCACCCATCCATCTATCCATCTATCCATCTATCCATCTATCCATCTATCCATCCATCCATCCATCCATCCATCCATCCATCCATCCATCCATCCTATTTTTCCATAGCTAAGTTTACAAACTAATCTTAAATATCAGGTTGATTAGTTTTTCCTGAATGGTGCCGCCTCAGGGCCAGTAGCCTACAGGTGCAGAGGCCAGCTAATGATCTGCAGCTAGTCTGCTCTGGCATAGAACACTGTGCAATCCAGAGACGGACCTGCCATAAAACCAAGCCTATGCATTACAAAGATGCTCAAATATACTTCACCACAGGTTTCTCATGTCACATCTTTTATGTTACCAATGAAAAGTTTAATATAACTAAAAAATGGGGGCTGAGTCTACACAACATATTATTAAAGAATGAACTAACACACAGGGTGTCTTCTCCCTCCCAGATATCTCTTCTATTTTCCTTACTTCTAAATGAGGAATACTATCAAAACTGTGACTCTTACCTTCTAAAATGGAAGGTTTTATATTGGTTTCCATAATATCCAGTCTGTTATATTTGTATACCTAAGAAGAGAAAACACAATAGTTTTAGGAAAATTAGACAGGAGGGAGTTAAGGTACTTGGAAATAAATAGCTCATTTTCAGAAGCGGCCAAGACACCTTCCTGAGTAGTAGTTGTATAAGGTAGCTAAAGAAATTCAACTTACTTCCTTAAAAAAGTAGTAATATTTCATAAATGGAGGGTGAATTCAAACATTATCAAGGTTTTAAAAACATTGTTGAACCTTAGACCAGAATCCTGAACTACTGGTAGTTTCACTCCCCCAGAAGACAAAGGATTCCAATTAAACTTGTCTCCCTTGCATTTTTTCTACTTAAAACCCACCATAGGGAGGATTTAAAAAATTCTCCTACCATTCTCAGAGCTTCTTCCCAGGCAGCTCCTTCTAACAGCAAGAGAACAGCTTCTTCATAATCCTAACAATGGAACAGTAAGTAAGGGAACAGGTGAATGGAGCAAACATCAGATGTCATCATTATCTACTATAAAAAAGAACACAGGGCAGCTTCCACCTGTGGTTGGCTTAATCCCCTACAGATCCCATTCTCTGCACTGACCCTGACCTAATATATTCTGATATTAATCTCCATAAAGACTGAAATAAAAGAAAAGAAGGGTGTCATCTTTTTCAAGTGATGACAAATGATACATGTTTAAGTATTATCACTCTTTTTTTTTTTTTTTTGGGGGGGGAGTCTTTTTGAGACAGGGTCTCGCTATGTAGTTCATGCTACCCTTGAGCGCACTCTGTAACCCAGGCTGGTCTCAAACTCCTAACGATCCTCCTGCGCCAATAGCCTCAGTGCTGGGATTACAGGTGTGTGCCACCACACCTGGCAGCATAGCATTAATTCCTGGGCAGTCACACCATCACGTACATCTGCCATAAATACTTACTTCCCCAGTTTTACTATCAAGCCTTGATTCAGAGGGTTCAGGCAGGCTCCAGAACTGCGAAAAAGATTATGGCAGACTCTGAAACTGGCAGACCAGAATATTATCTTTTAGGGCTTCTGGCTCTTGGTTTCTATAATATCCTACAATATTTAACATTCTTCTCTCCAAGGTTTTATTTTGAAAAACTAGAAAACTGAAAAATAATGATGGTGAACATTTTTCCATGTGCTTACTGGCTATTCATACACTGTCTTTGGAGAAATGTCTACCATAGTCCTTTTTTTTTTTTTTTTTTTGTTGAGTTACATAAGTTCTTTATATATTCTGGAGTTATGAATACTGTATTTCCATTCTATTAGCTTTCTTTTTCATGTTCTTGATAATCTTGATATATAAAATTTTTAATACTTACAAAGTCCAATTTACAAGTTATTTTGTTTTTTTGTGTGTTTGCTGTTAATTCTAAGAATACACTGCCAAATCCAATGTCATGAGGATTTATTTACCCTTTTTTTTCTAAGCGTTCTACAATTTTAGCCCTTTAATTTACTTTCTGACCTATTTTAGGTGCCTTGCATTTTTTAAAACTTAGAAAATAACAAATAAAACTTCACAACTTCTCTTGAAACTAAAACTATGAAAAATATTTTTTAATCATTTAAAAATCTCTTTAAGTAATACTTGATCACTTAAATCAAAAGCACTAACAACTTATGGAGTTTATAATGTACACAGATTTAAAATGTGAACTCATAGAAGACAAGCGGGAGAATGGAAGCATACTCCTGTAAGTTTCTTGTACTCGTATATACAAAGTGGTATACTAGCATGTGAATGGACAGTATGGAAAGAGTGGTATTTACTCTAAATCTTAGAATTACTACTAAAAAAACAGAGCTACTAAGTCAGACTGATCAAAAACAAGATATAAATAACCAATATTTGAGATGAAAGACAGGACATCATTACAGATCCAATGGGCAACTCCGTGCCAGTGTAGAATGAAGAATAAATTCCTGAAAGACACAAACTGCCTAAGCTCATTTCAGAAGGAACAGGACAACTTTAGACCAAGGTGGCTTACTGACAAATTTTACTACATATTTAAGAAAAAAAAAAAGTCAGGAGCTCGGCTAAGCTGGGAGATATGGGCTTTGCTGATCAAAACAATAAATCAAAATGAGAAAGTTAAGCCTTTTTTAAAGCACGCTCGTGTAAGCTAGAAGCTGACTTAGAAAAGCGCCAGCCCCCTGTTTTGGCACTCTTTCTTTCCCACGGAATGACACACACTGGCCAGCCAGCATGGGCACAGAGGTTGTATCACTGCTGAGGGAGTCTGCAATGAAAGGCTCTGCAGTTTTATAGATGCTTGAGGGTGGTGCAGCAGGGCCAAGGGGAAGGAAGGCCAAAAGTGGGAGAGTGTTGGCACTGAGAGGGGAAAGGTATCCTGGGGGCTGCCCGCCTCCTCCGCGGTGTAAGGTCAAAACAGAGATGCCTGAAAACAACCTTGGCCCGAGGCTTTAGACCAACAGAACTAAAAATGAAAGCACCAAGGCTAGGAAAGCAGATGTGCGAAGAACAAGAGCAGTCAGGGGGTCTGAGCCCTTGACTGCAGCTGGCTGCACACTGGCAGGATAGCATGTCTGTCAGAGGGAAGAGCAGCTGTTCCCCATGAGACCTCCAAGGTAAATTCTCATGGTCAGGACTGCAAAATCACGTAATTTTTTTTTTTTTTAATCACGTAAATTTTTAACCAGAAGCTAGACTCTTCTATACAAATTTTCCAGAGAACAGAAGATAAGAAATTCCCTTCCTATTACAAGCACACCATTATCCTAATACAAAATCTCACAAGGACATAAGCCTTCATAAATACAGTAACCACAAAAATACTTAAGAGATCCTCTGCACAAGTTCTGTAAGCTCCTTATAAAGTTAAAAATTCAAGGGGTTGGGGAGATAGCTTAGTGGAATAAGTGCTTGCCTGGCAAGCATAAGGTTCTGAGTTTGATCCCTGGTACCACCAAAAAATAAATCAATAAATTAAAAAAATAAAATCCACTTAACATGTGACCTAGCACTGCTACTCCTGCACCTATTGATTTACTCTAGAATTTTTACAGGTGATTTATAACCCCACACTCAAAAATATAATCCAAAGACATACATCAACTTGTGACTAGGCCCATAAATTGTGATACTATATACTATACAATGCAAAACTGATCAACAACAAAAAACTGAGACAAGCTATAATGTGAATGAACCTCAAAAGCACAATGTGAAAGCAATCGGATCAAAAAAATTTGTATGTACATATGTATGGCTCTATTTATAAGAAATTCTACCAGTGAATGCCAGAGACTGGAAGTGAGGAAAAGACTCTAAAAGAGAAAGCAGGGAACTTCTGAGATGTTAGAAATGTTCTATTTCCTGAGCATAGGGTGGTTACATAACTACACATCTGTTAAAGCTCATTCTTCACTTAAAATTGGTGAATTAATGTGGGTCTACGTAAATACACAATTACAGTTCTATGAACTGTCCTTTATAAAGAAAAAAGATGGCAATATCTTATTCATTTCATCAACCATGTGATACAGTGTATCTTTCCCACCATTCTAACTTTTCAGACATGTTTTATTCTCTGATGTTTTGAATTTAATCACCCATCATGGTTCCTTTACAGGATCAAGTGATACAAAATTTTAGTCATCTTCTCTTACTCTTATTTTCTATGAGATAAGATTACTGTCTTAAAAAGACAACTAAGTTAAGAAAATTTACCAGCCAATAATTACAAAAAACTCTCATCAAAGGAAGTCCTACAAATAAATAATCCCCGTGCCAACTACAGATCTGTGTCCTGTTACTCTGGCCAGTGTCAATGCAATTCTATCATGTTCATAATAAAATTCACAATTCGATCAAGAGCTCACACAAGCACTTACCCTTACAAACTGCCATAAAATCAGAACCCCATAGTTGTTTTACTTTTCATCAGAATGGCACAGGCGGGAAAAGCCTTTTCCTGTTGACTGGGGCTGCACAAGGGGGAAGTGAGCTCACCTGGGCATACTGCTCCAGAACTGTGGCTGCCTCACTGTACTTTCTCTGTTCAGCTAGCTTTCCTGCCAAGATAAGAATAGACACTTGAAAACAAAGATTTTTTTTTTGATTGAAGTGGTTCTATAACATTTGTTATGCATCAAAACTATGCACTTTGTGAATTTCTATGGTGGAACACGCATACACATCATGGAGTTCTTTCTTAAATGGCAGATGGAATCTTCGTTTAGCACAGGATTTGGAAAATCATATATAGTCAAAATTAGCCTTAAAAAAATGCTTCCGAAGGCAGGCATATGGGAAAGTGACCTCGCAGCTCTCACCAATCCAATTCTTTCTCTAACAGGAAGAGACTGCTGTTTCTTTGGCAAGCACTAGGTGGTGACAGCTGAATTATGTTTGGGCAAGCAGGGTCTGCATTCTTACTAAAATGAACGATCTCCATCGAGTTCCAGGCCAGCCGGGGTTACACAGTGAGTTCAGGGCCAGCTTAAATGACATAGTGAGACTAAAAAACCAACACAACGACAACCCAACAACCTCCTATACAACAGTAAGAAAGGCAAACAAAACCCAAGACTTTTACGGGCAGGCCGACCCATCTCATGCTCTTTCCAGGATACTGTATTTTCACTAAAAAAGGAAGCAGAATGGCCTCCACTATTTAATAGTTACCTTTTACTGCCTATATAAAATGCCCAAGTTAAATATGCATATAAAGCGACTCCACTTTGTAAAATTGCTCAGAAATCTCTGGTAATTACCCTCCTTAGCTTTTTTCACTTAACATCGTAAACAACTGCGTAGACTCCAACACAAGACACAGTAAATAGCAAGCCAAGAGTTCTAAAGAATATTAGCAAAGCTACTCAATCTCCCCCAAAGAAGTGCTAGGATATAAACTAGAAACAACATAAAGGGCCAAGGAGACAGCCTGGCGCAGGATCCTGAGTTCCATCCCCGTAATAGGAGGGGCAGGGAGCTAAAAGAAGTTATAATTGAAAATGACAAAAAATAAGGAAATCTCAATATCTGTAAAAAAGAGTTCAGCTTGGAAATAGAGGAATTTATAAATCTAATAACCAGAATACAAAAAGGCATAATTTCATGTATTTCTATAATTCCACAGAAAAAAATGTCATCCAAACAACAAAGGGAAATATGTACATAAATGTAATAATAAGCTGTAATTTGGATTTTTTTGCGTAACTCCTTTTTAAAAAATCATAATATCTATAAAACTTAATAAGAATGTTATAGTTTGAACATTCTGTCCCTTCTGAAATGTGTTTGGAGTTGAATTCCGACTGTGAGGTGTTAAGAGGATCACACAAATTGATTGGGCTCCTGCAAGTGCTAAGGACTGGGTAAGGTCAGCAGGGCAGACCTGCCCATGACTAAATACTGTTGGTTTTAGATGACAGTGAAGATCAGAGCACACACACGTGTGCACACACTGCACCTCTCAGTATCAACACATGACAGGTGTACCACAAACTCAGCAGATGGCCAGTAAGGAGGCCATCACCACAAGCTGGACCTCAGCCTTGAACTACAACCATGAGCCCAAGACACCCCTTTTCTCCATAACTTACCTAGCCTGTGCTAACAGTACTATTAGCAATGGAAAATGGACTACCAAAAAAAGGTAGAGAAAACAATATACCAAGCATTCATTTCTTTCCAGCACTGCTGCAGCCCAGAGCCTTCCTCACCTCACCTCACTTCCTCTCTAAGGAACCAGACTCAGGGACTTCCAAGGCAAGCATAGACCCTGAGGCTGCTGAGCTGCCTTCACTTTAGATTCCTTGTCTGTTAGGCCTTTTCTTCCACCCCATTCCTGGCTACTGCCAATATGGTCTTCAAGAATCTGCTGCCTATACCCAAATGGCTCTTCCCCAAATTCATGTTCTTCTTATAGGGCACATGGCTACCCAGTGACAGTGTAACCTATGACCTAAGTTTTAATGGATGAGATGGAGTAGAAATGATAGAATTTCTAGGTCATTTCCAACTTAACAATTACGTGTTTTCCTACCACTCTGGTTGTCCTTCATGTGCAAGAACTGGAATGCTAATGCAGAAATAACAAAGCTATAAGTATCTACCTAAGAGACTGCAGAGCCACACAATGGAAAAAAAACCTATCAGTCCTTACGTGGAAGAACTGAACTTTTTTTTTTCAGTGTGTCATTATACTTCAAGGCTCATATTTTGTTTGCGTGTTTTTTTCTTTTTTCAGAGCTGGAGATTGACAGGACCTTGTTTCTGATGAGCAAACAAAAAGCCCCACCCCTAGGTCCCATTTTGAGACTGCTATAGCAGCTTAGCCTTCACTATGCTTGATAGATCACTCTAAGGCAAGTAACGATAAGGCTATCTCAAAACATGCCGTCCTTCATTTGCAAAATTAGCAAACAAAAAACTTCTAAACAGACAAAACAAATGATCCTGCTTACCTGCCAGAGTCCTGCTTAGCTCAATCAGCTGGTTCTTGGGCAGGTGAAGCTGGGCTGCCATGCAGAGGGCTTGCTGCCAGCTGCCACAAGCCAGAAAGGCCGAGAGTGCTTCTTTGTAAGCACCACAGCGGGCAAACAAAAGCCCCGCCATCTCATGCTGGTGCTCTTGTGTCAGGTACTCCCCATATGCAAAGCAGACAGCCTGTGACAAAAGGACAGTGGGTGGTTGTCAGGGACGCAATTCTTTAAACCTCTAGTGCTGGCTAACTTAGTGATTAAAGTCTTGAATTACTTTGGAAATTCCTATTATTGATGAGTTAACTCATTCCTTTTTCCCTTCAAAACCTTACTGGGGATGTACCATCTATTCACTCAACAATTACAAAGTACTGATATATGTGTATACTATTTTAGACATTATTCCCATTATCCGTGGGAATAATACAGATACAAAAATAAATCCAAACATGAATGACCATCAAGTTCTTAGTTCTATGGCAATAAAGGATGGGCAGGAGAATGGGCTTACCAACACAGTACAGGCTACAATGTGATGGTTGCAAAGAGGAAAGTAAAGGAATAGTGATGGGGGGGGGGGGAGGAAGATGGCTCAGTGGAATAAGCGCTTCCCTGGCAAGCACGAGGGCCTGGGTTCAATCCCTGGTTCTGCCCCTACCCCCAAAAAAAGGAATAGTGATGGGAGAACTATCTCTAGAAGAAGGCGGTGGCTGTGAGGAAATGCATGTAGAAAGTCAGTGGAGCATTCCAGGCAGAGCCCAGCGAGGCCCTGAGGTCTTTAGCAGGAGCGTGCACAACACGCATGAGAATGACCAAGGCTGGTGTACCTGGCAGAGAGAGCATGGAACAGAATAGAAAACAAGAGCCAAGAGGCAGGGACGTCCCCAAATTCTGCATTCCCCAAGCTCAATGTTAGGCAGAGACAAAGAGATGAACACATCTCACAGCCTCATTGGGGAGACGAAGGAGAAATCCAGAAGTTTGATAAATGTGACCACCAGGTAAAAAGAGGGTGCTCTCGGAGCTCAGCACCTGGCACCTTGTTCAAGAATGGCTTTCTACAAGACACTGAGGGCTCCTATGAATAGCTGGAGCTACTGGAAGGCAGGGCGCAGGGCTGACAGAGGCATTACCCAGTATGACATCTGTGGAGCTACACACAAGTAACAGTGTAAGGGGAGAGAGGTAGAAGTTGGTGCTAAAGATTATCAGCAGGGACAGAAAGCTACTCTGCAGCTCTGGGCCCTTAGGCAGGCTGTGTCCTCATCTGTAAGACATGTACCACACATGGACCAAAATCAGCAGTCTTATTCCATACACCACACACCTTGTACTGCTGTGTGCTTGGTAGATATAACTTCAGAGCTTCCTTATACAAGTTTTTATCTTTTATTAAATTTAAGCACTCTGGAAAGTATTCAGGTCCTGCAGGAATAAAAATCGCACAAACAAGGGCTTAAGACTTTGGAAGTACAATGGATTTCATTTATATCAGTAGTTCCCAAATGAAATTGAAGTGGGAACTTTCAAACACTTAATAATCTGAGTATCTGGTGAATGAACTACAAGAATTTGATTAACAAGTACTGCAAACTCTGAGGAGGGAGAGGCACTGAGCGGATCTGCATTCTACTCAGGGACTTGACACTTCCCAGACACTGCAGTGTTTCTCAGCCTTGAGAAAGACTACCTGGGGATCTTAATTAAACACATGATCCGTCATTCCTCAAACCAAGTAAGCAAAAAAGAGGACACCTAGCTGTGGCACCTGGCACCTGTCCTTACATCAAGGCTTTGGGAAACCATCAGCTGCTTCAGCCCAGAACAGAAGGTGCAGGAGAGTAGGACACTGATAGTCCTGATTTGTTGTTTTTATTCCATGAGTGCCAATTAAACTGTCTTTCAGGGAACTGGGTGGGAGCCTCAACACCCGCTGCAGACAAGCTCGGTCTTCTCTCATGTGCAGTGGACACGAGAAGAATGAGTACCCGAAAGTTTTACTCGGAGGCACTGAAGTGAACTTAGCAGGTGCTCAATCGTAACCCAAATAAGACCTACTCCATGTTGTCTCTTAGGGAGGGAACAGCTCCAGTTCAGTAGCAGTAATTCGCTTTCCCCTCAACCTCTCAAAATCAAGCACAAAATTGAAATCAGTCTCTAAAACAATCGTTTTAATGTATACATTGGCTAGTTGCAAGGACGATCTGAAGCAGAAATAAACACATGTACCACACTTGCTGAGGTGACCAATGGCTTTTTCATATCTTTTTAAGTGTTTGTCTATCGTGAACCTCTGGTAATTAGTCTCCATTTTCTTAAGCATATTCAGAAATGGAAGATATTCTTTGGGATCCTAAAGAAATAAGTAAAACTTTATTACTTTCGACATTTACAAATATATATAATTATGGCAATAACTCCACAAAAACATAATTTTAAATGTGTATAAGCTAGCAATTACATGTAACATAAAAATCAAACTACATCAAGCAAATTTGGTAAAAATGCTTTCACATATGCGCATTATTAGTTTATTATCTGAAATAATGATTAATCCTTGGGCTAGGGAGCTAGCTCAATAGCATAGTGTCTGCTGGCAAGCACAAAGTCCCGAGTTCAAAACCTGGTACCAAATGCCATGCTGGCCCTGGAACCCTAGGTGTGCCATGCCAGCCCCAAAACGGCATGGTGGCACATGCCTGTAACCCCAGCACTGGGGAGGCTGAGACAGGAGAATCACTACAAGTCCAAACTACACGCAAGATCCTATGTCAAATAATAAATAAATACATGACTCATCCTTACTTATGTCTCATAGTAACTACTCATTTCAGAAAGCAATAATGAATGTCAGGCTGTAACCCAAAAGATGCTCCCCAAATGCAGCCACATTTCTCTTGAGTGTAGAGCACTGCTCGTGGTGCTGTTTTCGTGGCATCTTCTGTGCTCTCCGTTTACGAACAACACATGTTAAACATATAACCACAACGAGCTGGACATATAACTGATATTTACTGGCACTAGCTGGACATATAACTGATATTTACTGGCACTATCATCTCTAGCTCTGTGCTATGGCCTGTAAGCAAATTCTCCTTCTTCCTAAAGACATGAAGCTAGGAATGGCAGCATATGCATATAATCCCTACATTTTGGGAGGCGGAGGCAGGAGGATAGTAAGCTGTTGGCCTGGCAGTTTAGCATTGTAGTGAGACCATATCTCAAAAAGGTAAAAAAAAGGCTGGGGATGATTTCAGTGCAAAAGCCCTGGATTCATAATCCACAGCACTTCAAAAACAAAAAAATAAGACGGTAAGTAATGACATGAGGACAGTATACTGTGCAAGATGGCTGTAGGCCAACATATTCCTCCAACATTTAACAAGTATTAAATAGGTACAAGGAATGCAACAGAACGCTTAATTTATGAAGCTTGCACATGGAAGACAGACTGCTATGCAGGAAGGAGACAGAGTGTGCTATGTAGGCATAGCCCCTGGAGAGCCACATGACAGCACCTCACCAATCACCAAAGCGGAACACAAATGGCTTACTGGGAAGATGCCACCTTGGCATCCTTTAACATAGGTACGTGAGAATTAGCCAGGCAAACAATGGCAGCAATGGAAATTCTTGCACCCATGGAAAACAGAAGTAATGTGACCCACAAAGCATTCGGTGGCTGGTGGTGATAAAGGGAGGGCGGGAAGGGACAAATGCGCTGCCTTCCCTCCAAGGGAAGTGAGAGAAAAATAGGTCAAGTGATGAGGAGGAAAAGATGCATATGCATCAGGCTACACAAGGGTTTCTAAGCAATGTTAAGTCACTTCTCAACTTTATGCCATAGATACTAGGCTAGCTCATGAAGAGTGTTAAGCAGAGAAGGATTACATCTTCCTTTCTAGAAAAACCAAAACAACAATAGCAAATAAGACACTGGGTTTGCAAAAAAACAAAATGAAATGACAGGTGGTGCTCAAACTTTTTGACTACAGAAGATGCTCCAAGGTGGGGAAAGGGGTCCTGAGCTTTCCACCCTCCATGCTTCTACTCTACACTGGAAAAGAGCTATACGATAAAGAACTAGAGTAGAACATGGAATACTTACTATATTTTCTTGTTAAGAGAATAGTTCATACATATGCCTAGAATCTACAAAATAATCACATGATTTTATTTCACCTTGTCAACTTGGTGTGTCTGGTACAAGCAACTAAACTCAAGTGTGCCTTACATGCTGAGCATACAATCTACCACTGACCAACTTCCCCAAGTCCTCAACACTTTGGATAAGCTCAGAACTACCACAAGGAATGACGCTTAGGCGTGTGGGTGCTGCAGGCTCAGAGATCTGCCCCTGTTCCGTAGTCACAACATAATATCAGACAACCACTGTATGCGGGGCACAGAAGTTCCTCCTACTGTGACTATATAAACACTACCCAGAATGATGCAAAGAATTCCACATACCTTCTGGGACTTTTCAGCTACCATGATGACCAAATCAAAGTCATAGGTCCCAAGAGAATGATCATATAACTCATTAACATCTACCAGAAGGAGCAAATACTTTAAGGCATCTTCTGCACTCACAGCATCAGGAACAGATGGGCCATTCTCTGTTGGTATTCACAGAAACAGAACAGAACCATATGAGGGAAAAGCTGAAGACCTCAAAAGGCAAAGAAATAGATTTTTTTGACAGAGATGGACACATGACCAATATGCATGTGTCTTTCACACAGGCTTCATAGGCACCATTAAAACCCTTGATACAGGTCTTGAAATGGCAACCAAAGGGTCACATATTAACTGTGTGTAATGTGACAATGACACAGAAATGTCATCTGCAGAGGACCAGTGATTGTCAAGATCATATTCAACATTCTGGGAGCAGGTCTCTACCTTGAAGCTCGTGTACCTTCTGCAGCACAAGTTCCAGCTCTGGGGTAGTTTTCTTCACATGAGACGTGAGTATTGATAGGCAGTACCTGAGGCAGCAAGTGAAGAACAGAGAATGAGAAGGGTTAAGCTAGACAAGGACAACTATCTGCTTCTGTTATTCCAAAGATGCCCATAATGGCAGCACACATACTTATGAGGGTTGATGCTCTCCATGGCTGCTCTCATTGCATCACAGATGAGGTCGAGTTTTTTCACAGTGGGATCCATGGGCAGCTGGGCACTGCTGGTAAGCGGAGGAGGGTACATGGTCCTTGTGACATCTTCCTCCCTAAGAACACATGGATACAAACAAGTGTCACTAACTAGATATGTGGCCCACTGATCAAACTACTATACATATCCAATAAGCTTATGAGATAAAATAAGAGCAATAATTTCAGACATAAAGAATTTAAGCTTTTCTTTAAAAAATGTATGTGAGAAAGAAGATACATTGAATGCTTTGTTTTACAATACTTTAACCCATCTTTCTTAGTTAGGGATCTATCTTAGATATGCAAGTCTTGGAAAATTCACTGAACTTTTGAAAATAATTTAGAAATAAAGAATATTAAGAGTGAAACATTTCCACAAAAGACACATACACTATTCATAGATCTTTTACTCATATTAATCTCAAAACACGTACAATCCAGATGTCTAGTAACTGAGGAATAAGCAAAAGGTGGCATATACACAATGGTATATTACTAACAATAAAAAAGAGTGAACTAGTAATACATGTAAAAACACGGATGAACCTTAAGACAGTGGGCTGGGTAAAGGAAGTTGCATTTACCCAGAAGAGTAAATACTGTTTGACTCTATATCTAATTCTTCAATGGCCAAAACTGACCCACAGTGAAAAAACTCATACCAGTAGTTGCCTAAGGGATGAGACACAGGCACTAAATAAAGAGGAATTTAAGAGAATTTGATGGGAAAGACATGTTCTCAAACTTGACAGGTGATTTATATATTTCACTACAGACAAATCTGCCCTTAAAAAAAGAAAACCAAAAAATACAGTGACAAAAAGCGTAACTAGTTTATACACGAAGAACTCTGATTAACCCTATGGCAGGTGAAATCCTGGGAGATTAAGTGGTCTGATGTTTACAAGTTGCTCTGACATTTGTATACAACAGATGGGCACTCGGACAAATCATGGGTGTTGATAAGCACATGTAGGAAAATCTGGACTGGAGAATTAGAGTCAAAGACAGGCTGTCTCCTGGACATGCTTTCGATTTTTCCATATATTTAAAATATTTAACAAGTTGGAAAAAAAAAATCACTGCAGATAGACATCATTTGATCTCAATCTCTTAAGAGAAACAAACAGGTTAAAATGTATAGCTAAAATTCAAGGCAAATAATTTTGCAGGTTTTAAAGTGATAGCTTTAAGCAGGCTATTTTGAAAAGAGAAAATAACAAAAATCATATTTAAGAGTTTCAGTGATTTTTTAAAACAGAAATAATTTCTCGATATTTGATTTCCTTTAAGACAAAAACTATGAATTATCAAAATACTTACTTTAACTCTGTGAAAAATAAATTAATGTGATTTACAGAATCTATCTGCCTAATAAAGGTTTCCACATTTTCAAGAAATACCTAGCAAAAAAGACAAAATGTTCTGGTTAGGATATCACTTCAAATATAAAGTAAGCTAAGATAAGTACTAGATTTAAAAAATTACCTTAGGGTTGTGGTCATGAATCAGATTGAGGTTAATTCTTAGCTTTCTCATGCATTCGAACGCTTCCTTAAACATCAGCCTGTGAGGAGGCAGAACAGATACAAGGGTATTTCACAAAACCTAAGCTCCCCTAAGCTCAGTGTGTTTTCATTACAAACCAGTTATAATCCAGAAAATCATCAGGTAACTAAGGCCTACTGTTGTAATATTAATGGAGACCTTTCTAATACAAAGCTTGCTCCACACAGACTCAGAATTTTGATCATTTCTTTTACAACAGTAACCCTGGGGTTTCTGAGTCATATACCTCTCCACAAATCTTTTGAAAGCCATGGGTAAATATACAGAGTTCAGTGTACAGTTTCCCTGGTTCACAGGCCACCTAAAGCCTATTTGGGTCCTCTTTAGAAGCCCTCCTTCACATAATGAGCTTTTACACACACAGTATTAAACTAAAATAACATGTTTCTGAGAATTTGATTGAAGGTATCTGTAAGTTTTTTTGTACTGGCAAGTTATAAAAATTACATTGATTATATTAATAATGATTATAGTTATGTATTAATTATCTTAATTATACTTGCTGTTGGCAAATTAACTAGTTGTATGCACAGCACTTACTTGTCCAACCACTTCCGAATCTGAGCTAAAACTAGGGCTCGATGATGAACAACTTCTAAATTCCCCCTCGGCATCTTAAAAATAAATAAATCAAACATTAACATTCTCAATTAAGTGGAAAAATTTGAGTAGCAGACACAATTTTATCTAATTCTTAAGAACTACTACAATGCTGCACAAGCAATCAATACACTTGTAGCAGAATCTAGTTGTACTCAATGTTTATCTGACTTTCAAGAAAAGCTTCCCTTTGAGCCTTAGTACTCAGAGCCTGTATCAACGCTGCATTGTATAAACCTAACGAACAACCTGGCAAGAAAGGTTTATAATAAATGATGAAAGAATAAAGCCTAAAACAAATTCTGCAAGAACTCTGTTTGGTAGTAAGCGAATGACAGTCACAAAGGCTTACCTGTAATATGAGCTTTGTGTCCTGGGGCACAACTGTGACAATCCGAGAACCCCTCTCCACCTTCCGCAGAACTTCACCATTAGCCACCTGACTGCTGCACAGACCTGCCTGTAACGCTAAAAACACGACTGGCTAAGCCTTGAAAATGATTGTGACATGCCACTCTCCACTAATTGTAGATGAAATGACACATACTAACTGAAGCAGAGTATATAAAAACCAGGTTCCTATGCTCTCCCACTCATCCTCAGTATTACTGACACATCTGAAGAACAACCGCATTCCTGGAACTTGCCCTCTCACAGAGCCATCCTACACAAGTTCTCAAACAATCAGTAAAACATAGTAATTTCAGGGCAATTTCTCTACCTCACAGCATTACCAGTACTCTATAACCATAAAGAGCCTGCTTCCAGGCTGACTGTCTCTTTTTTAAAAAAAAAAAAAGAAAACTATTGGGTCAGCAAGATAGCTCAGTGGACTAAAGCACTGCTTAGGCAAACTCAGGCAAGCACAGGGACCAAGGTTAGATCCCAGGCCCCACAGGCTGCGCCAGCCCCGCCCCAGGGTGGGCTGAGCCAGCAGAGTCCAGGCATAGTGGTGCAGAAGGATCACCACAAACACAAGATATATAGTGATATCCTGCAACAACCACATACATGAAAACAAAACTGTTGGTACCAATGTATCATAAAATATCACACAATTTACATCATTTTCCAAATATATTTTATTTTACTTTTTTCAGTTTTGTTTTTTTTTTTTTTTTTTTTTTTAGCAGAACCAGGGATTGAACTCAGGCCCTTGCACTTGCCAGGCAAACACTTATTCTACTGAGCTATCTCCCTAGCCCCTTCCAAATATATTTTAAAATGTCACTGGGATACTCTTTCATTATAAGAAAAATATAGAAGTAGAAAGAAAATAAGACCACTTTTAAAAACAATAAAAACAGACACAGGCATGGAATAAAAGAAAAAATGGATGCCAATACTCTACAAGCCATAAGATGAAGTGTAAAAGTACAATGGAGAATGGGCATAATAAAGATTATAACCCAAGGTTAGAGCATAGTGCTAGTCTGAGGTCTACATGGTAACTCAAAATAAAATATTAGATGTTATATAATAAATATGCACAAAACACTGTCTGATTTTAGCATATGCTACATAAGGAACGAATTCCATGTCTGGAAATCTTTGCTAACTGCAACAGAATGATTCGACTGAGGTACTATGTTAAGAGTACAGACTAAGTAAATGAAATCTAAACATTTTCTCCAGCCTATGAAAGGCTTTCTCCATGGCAAAAAGTCAAACCAGGTAAAATAATTAAGTCTTCAAGACTCCAAATGGCAAAAGCCAGTGGAGAGGGGCTATTTTCACTTTATACATTGAAAACTTACTTTTCAGTGAAGTATCTCTCAAGGAAAAACACTGGCAGGTATGAGAATGGGTTGTCAACAATAAAAATTCATCATACAGTGTGAATGATGTGATATTTGATGCAACCTGCAACGAGGCAAAAGAGGTCAGGGAGATATTAACTGTATTTGCAGCCCAAATTGTGAAAAGGATCCATCCAATCAAGCCCTGATACCTCAGTGTCACTGACGAAAAAGCGACATCTATCAGTTAGACCAAGGACACATTCCTGTAAAGAAATAAAACACACATTAAACGCAATTCTATTTCAAACTAGTGAAGCCTAGTTTATTACAGATTTCTACTGCTCTAAGATCTCATATCTAAGTCCTCATGACACTGAACGTACATACCCAAGACAGAGTGGTCCAACATAAAATGGAGTGGGATGCCCCCCAGTCCATCAGCAAATCCTGCTACCACTACCTTCTATATTGATCCTGACTACATTTCCTGTCCTAAGTCACTGATTTTCTATGTTGATCTCCCACTCAACTCTCATGCCTTTCCCATCTTCTCCTCTGGGCAGCCAAACCATCCCTCAACGATGAAGCAAAACACAAGACTGCTGACTGAGAATAACACGCAACTTCATGTTGCCAGCTCCAGCCACACTACCTAAACTGAGTGACCTGAATAAGATGAGGTCTTTCCAAGTGCGAGATGTTTCTAGCACCTCCTCCTGGGAGCACTTTCCAGGGAGAGCTTTCTTCTTCACACTGCAGCACATATTTACTACTTCAGGAGGCTTTCCTGAAGTAAAAGATTTTCATCTCCAGAGCTATCATTCTGTAATTGCTCCCAAATACTTCACTATTCTCTCTCATCACACCCTACTAATTTCCTTCATGTCCCACAGAAGGATTAATTTTACTTACACTGATAGAAGGTAGCTAATGTTTTAATTTACAATGGCTGTGTCCCACCACTCACTCCAACAGATATTCTAATACTTGTTGAATGACAACCTACTCTGAGTTCCTATCTGTTGTACTAAAAAGCTATTGAATAAAACTAACTTTGAATATTCTGTTAATCTAGGAATAAAATCTGTAAATCATATATATTATCTCATTTAATTCTTATAAATATTGAAGGAAACACACTGATTTTCTCATAGATAAAGTATGAATCATGAAAGTAAGATAACTTCCTGTTAGGTTGGAATTTATTGGAGACCCAAATCCAACTCCAAAGCCCACAATCTTTCTACCTAATATCCTTAGTCACTGGATAATTTTTCTTTTTGTACCAGGGATCGAACTCAGGATCTTGTACTTGCCAAGCAGACACTTATGCCACTGAGCTATCTTCCTGGCCCTGGATAACTATTTTAAGTGATAAATTTTCCTACCCTGTTTCTACTTACCTCTCCTCCGATCACCGCCAATTCAGTCTGTGTGCATGGATAAGGAAATCGAATAGGAAATCCACCAGGGCTCATCCATGGTTCAACAGCCAAAGAAGGTGACTCTGTAAGATTGGCAGATGTGGTTTACAAAGAGCTGTCTCTTTTTAAAAAAGAAAACTGTTGATACCAATGTTTCCTAAAACACTTAATACACAATTTATATCACATTCCAAATATATGTTAGAAAGTCATTGGGATACTCTTTTCATTATAAGAAAAAATGGGAGAAGAGACTTTCCAGTTCTACTGTACAGCATAAATTCCAGGGTAAAGACTTAGCCAACAGGCGAGGGGGATAACTCAGTAGTAAAGTACTTACTGGGTTTAATCCCCAGCATTGAAGGAAAAAAAAAGTAAATAAAAAGACCTGACATGACAGTTATGAAACAGTAAAGTGTAAGATATCTTCAAGTACATGGCTTAAGAATTAAGTATTTCATAAGAGCTAGACATGTTTTCCTAAAACTCTGATACTCACCCCAAAGGCACTTAAGTATCTGGCCATCAGCCAGCTGCAATGCTACGGACTTGGTCTTGGGACTGCAGCACAGACTGGTTATAATCCCATCCACTGTCACAGATGAGCTACAGAAGGTTCAAAAGGGGGTGGGGAAATAAAGGCACTTTCAAACTGAGACACTTCACTAATTTTGCAAAGAAAAAAAATATATATACATATATACTGAGTAACTACTTTAAAGATGATAATATTCAATGTATTAACTATAGTGCCTCTATTATTTTTTATTAAATTTTTACTTTTTGTTCATATATATATATATATATATACACCCCAGTCCCCCATAGTCAATTTCAATACAACATAATCTGCCCCCAAAAAATGTATACATCAGGAAAAGAAAAATTTGCATAAATATTTTGATACTAAATTTATTGAGAAATCATGAGATTAATACAAGTTGCTTTTGGCCTCTACAACCACAAGACAGCCTCAAGGTGGTAGCTATGAGCTTGCAGACATTTATTAGGACAGCAAACTGAAGTGTGTATACATTTTTGGGGTGGGTTCTGTACATATATTTATATACACACACAATAGCAATGTACACATATAGATACAAACAAACAGATGGAAAGATAAATTATTGTTAAGTCCAAGCCCAGTTAAAGCAGTTCTTTATAGCAAAGCCAATAAGCTAACTGTCTACACTATAAAGCCATTGCTCCTACTTTGGCAGCAACTTACTACAATTTAATGCCTACATTAGACACTAAATGGTACCAATATTACTTTTTATACAATATAAACTGCATGAATACATTATATATAGAAAAACGGACACCATAATTTCTCTACTGCTATCATAAGCATTCAAGGAAAACTATATTAATGAGAAAGGGGAAATCTGTTATTGCTATAACATTTTTTCTTGAGTCAATGAACAAAGAGAATTAAAATTCCTTAAATAAAGTAGTTATAAAAGCAAATGCTAGCAACGCTAACATTAAATTTAAAGAGGTTTTAAACAAATGTACACTGGCAAGTGCAAGATCCTGAGTTCTCTTCCCAGTACCAAAAAATGAAAAAAAATTTAAAAATTAAAAACGTACAGAAAAAGAATGAAAAATTGTAACCATGATCAATGATTAGTTTCTCTAATCACTTGTCGAGAGTTAAATGAACAAACTCTCAAGTTACAGCAGCTGAGATTAGATAGTGTTCCATCTATAAGACCTCAAGCGCGTCATCGAACTGCTCTGTGCTGTAGTTCGCTATACAGAAGGAAGGTGGGTGCTCAAAGTACATGACATGGTGAGAAATAAGGTAATATAGGTAAAGCATTCAGAAGGCTACCTTACGTAGTATAGCCATAGTAAATGTAAGCTATTAACACTTGCAAGCTGAGGGACATTCCATTCCTTAAAGATGTACTTTATTTTACATGAACAAAACAGTTCTTAAGAAATGAAGGTCAAAGCAACAGAAAAATATTGTAAATAACCTTATTGCCAAAGGAGATTACTATATCTAGCCTTTCCTTCTACAAGGTAATAAAGAACTTCACATATAAAGAGTAGAGGGGAACCCCCAGACCGAGTCCTAGCCCAGGTCCGGTGAGAGTGTGGGAGTTTCCGGTTACCCTGCGCCGGCGGGACCAACTCCGGGTCCTAGCCCAGGCGCAGCATGGGCGAGACCCTCTTCCACCCCCTTGGGACGCCCCCCACCATTCTGCAGCATATTCCCCACCCCGCCCGCTGTGTAGGAATTTCTGCCGCTTTCCAGGAACCCCCAGACCCAGTCCTAGCCCAGACCCAGTGAGTGTGTGGGAGAGCTGCCTCTCCCCCTACTCCACCTTGTCCCCTCCAGGCTCAGCTCAGGCCTGGCATACAGGCCTGGGGTGTGACCCTGCAGCTGCAATCCCTACAGAGAAGGTAGAGGATAGAACCACCCAGCTAGTCCAGGAGCAGAACATCTTGCCACAGGGGCACAACAGGTTCACCCTCAAGGGCAGCCGCGGGAAGGAGCTGAGCACAGCAGACAGACCCAAGCCAGGCATAGCTGGATAAATCCAGACTTTGTAGATCTGCACCTGAACTTCAGTACGTGCTAAGGTTATAACTACAACGAAGATCTACAACAAAGGTCAGAAGACAGTGCTACACAAAATGATGAGAAGGAACAAAATGCAACCTCAGAACCCAACCCCACGCATAACA